AATTTGGTGAAGGTTCCAAAAATAGTATCAGAATTTTTAAATTCAAGCGTTTTCGCGTCGAAACAGGGGCAAAAGATCATGCGACGCGGTCGCGTTGCGGTCGCATCTGGCTATTTGCCAGGAATCACAGCAGGGGGCCGTGGACTAGATTTCGGAGCCCCTTTAAAGGATTTCCGGAAATGTGTTTTTCGAAAAAATGGATGGAAATTCATTTTCGGGTCCGAAAATGCCAAAAACACTGTAGAAAAAGAGAAGGCATGCAAACAGCTGGCAAAAAGGGTGCAGATTGGGCACGAAAAGTGCGGCAGGACGATCTCGGGGGGGCGTGCTCACCGAGCCACTTGATCGTGGTAACCGTTGGGACATATGGTTTCGACTCGGGCGGTTCCGTATGTTTTGCTAAATAAGAAAAGGGGATTAAGAAGTGAATGTCCAAAAGGATGCGGGTTCGTGGGTCCTTGGTGTTAGAATGATTCTTTAATTAGATTTAGGTAGAATCCCTAAAAAACAGTAAAAAATATGAATCGAAAAAAGGACTGAATAGTGCCGGGGCACCAAAAATCAGAAACAAACCTTTCGCCCGCTTTTTCATGCTCGATTTCAACGGCCGAAGGTTGGAGACGGCTTTGGTGGAGATTTGACGAAGCGGGTTCAGCCGATTTTTGTCCATCAAGTCGACGAAGCAGATCGTGCTCGGCGTGATCAACAACTGAAAAGTCGGGTGGGTCAGCGAGTAAAGGCAATTTACATGTGTTGACCGTTGCTGCTCCAGCTCAAAGCGGTCCTTCAGCGTGCGCATCAGCCCCGCGTCCATTTCTTCGAGGGTGGCCATCCCGTTTTTGAGCACCTTAAAATTACAAGTACAGAGCTAGGGCTTTGGAGCACCTGATTCATCACGTCGATCACTTTCGGCACCGTCGTTTTGACTTGCTGGTTCAGGGCATCAAAGTCCCGGAATCGCGCGTTCATCTCCTCAGCCAGTTTTGCGCCGCTTTTCGCCGCCTCATAATCCATCAGCTTGTCGTTGCGCTTGGCGATTAGTCGCTTGGGGATCACGCGAATCGCCTTCAGGCAATCGTCTTTCACCCTAAAAAAATCAGGATGAAAAATGACGAAAAATAGGCAAATGATCGTAACTGTAAATCCGTTGGAAGAGCATACTTGTAGTTGGTCTCCTTGACAAATTCTTGCAGTATCTCAAAGAATGGCTTCAGCTGTTGCATAGCCGCCTTCTCCGGCATCCGTGATGCATCTAAAAACGAATTTACACCCGAAAAAGGCCGACAAACTTGGTGCGACGATGAGGACCTCGATTTGGCGCTTCATGTCGTGCTGCAGCTTCTTTTGGTAGATGACCAGTTGGTAGTTGAAGCGCACGAGTCGACGTTCGCATTGGTCGAGTTCGGAGACCATTTGCTCGAAATCAGGGTCACGCGTCTAAAGAGGGGAGTGAATCCCGGAGAGCCTACGCACCAAATGCAAAATGCCGATGGCGCTGCCCATCCGATACTTGAAGCGGTTGCTCTTCTTGACGACCGAGTGCACCGACAGGCGCGACAACTTTTGGGTGAGCGTCGCGCTCTGCTCTTCGCTGTACTTGCGCGCTGAAAATGGGAGATGTAGATGGAGGCAAGTTCTAGTTTTTTCGGACATTTGCGCGCGAATGGGCGCCCCGGAAACTGGGATTTTGTGTTAACGCAAATTATAATAGCAACAAAAACGGGCAACAAATGTATATCGTCGGTACGACCACTTAACGAGCATTTCCTGTAGTACGCGTCGAACCTCTGCGGGTGGTAGCGCTGATGGTGGTTGGAATATTTGGGGGTACAACGTTCAGGGGAATTTGTAAAAAAAAGACAAGTGTTCACGCATCGAACACGATTGGGGCGAAATTCCAAAAGAAATTTGAGAATTATCCCCCTAGCCAGACGTTTGCTCGCTTTTTTGAGAGAATCAAAGCGTTTTAAAATTTTTCAAGTTTTGGGGAGAATAAAGTCTGAAAAACCACTAAAGTTCAGAATTTCGCCCAGTGAAGTGCAGTCAATCCGGCCATAAACGTGAAAAGGCATGCACTTACATAGAAGAACCTCGGCCTGGGGCGAGTCGACGGTTTGGAACACTGAAAAAGCCAAAATACAACCCAGAAAACGGGACCCGTGGCGCGTTATCCCAGGGAAACCAACCAAAAAAAAACGGATTAGCAATTGACAGCGGGAACCTACGGTGGCACTTCATTACGGTACCAAACGCCCCCAGAGCTCCATATCGCGGTCTTCGCAAAAAGCCATGCCTTCCAACCAAAAAAATTGAGTGCAGAAATTGGAAGACAGCAATTCGAATTTCTCTGTAAAACTACAGGCTTTCTGAGTGTGGTTCTTTCGCATTATCGGGGGGGCGGAGCAACTTGTTTCTAAGGGTCCAATTTTCAACAGAAATAGAGCAGCGTTCTAGACTGTTTTTACTATTCCTATCCGTAAAAAGTGTACAAATTTTCGTTAACAAATGGAAAAAAAAGCTTTTTTTCGACCAACTTGCAGTTTTTTAATCGTAGGTTTTTCCACTTGAAATAATGCGAAAAACCCTGAATACAACCGTCGCTCGATAAAGCCCTTTCGATTCACTATCTTCCAAGTTCCGCTAAATACTAGCATTTCCTGCGTGTCATCTACTCGCGACAATTCTTGTCTACCTGCCGTAAACCGTGGGAATGGCCATGCATGTCAGGGATTCGTGCACAAACCGCACCATTAGTAAATGAACACTTGCATTCATGGGGGTTTAGCGGGGGGAGAACGGGCGCAAAACCAAAGATGCTCACCAATACGTCACAACTTTCAAAATTTGGGAACTCAACTAAGAAAAAGACTTTGGCGATCAGTAGATACAAACTGAGGTAACTTTGGTAATTTTGGCTAATTCTCCTGAAAAGCACACCATTCCCGAATCGCTCACTTCCCTAGGGAAGGCCAAAACCGGCCTGCATGAGGAACCGGTTCAAAAATTATAAAAATAGAAAGCCGAAGTTATCCGAGGTTTAAAATCTTTAGCAAATTCCATAAATCAAAAAATAAATATCGTCGACTCTCTATTTTTGCCAGATTTGAGCCCGATCTGAACCCCGGCCTGTCTGACTTCTCCTAGTCAGCCCAACAGCTATTTGGACCAAGTAAGTCACTCGGCACTGACTCAATTCTTTGCGCCGCTTGCTCTCGTTCATCTTCTGCCCGAGGTTGCTCATCTGTTTGAACGCCTCCAGCAACTTGGGGTGATCGGGATGTGTCGTGCTCGTATACTAAATATGACACTAGAGGAAAAATCGTGGACAAAGTCACCTTGATGATCTCCGATAGGAAAAGCGGATACTTCAAGGCTCGATGGACGGGCCGGCTGACAGCCGTCGGGACGTCGAAACAAAAACTGCCTAAAAAGACGGCTGAATTGATCACCCAACCCGTACCGTATGTCCGCATCCAGCCCAACACCTCCGTCATCGCAGCTTGCAACTTTTTGTCGGATTTCTAAAATGACGTATTAGGTCGGGGCAAGATGGGAAAAAGTTACATTCTCGACGACGGCGTGGATGTACTCAATGTTGCGGAAGAAGAAGCCGTAGGCATGGGTGAACATTTTTTGCATGTTCATGAAGATTTCGCCAATCTTTTGTCGTTCGACAGGCTCCTCTGAAATCAGGGTTTTACTAGTCTATCTCCGCTCACCAAGATCCATCTTCAGCGTATCGGCCAACAACAACGACAGCTCCACCAGCTGCGGGATGCCGTTGCTCAACACGCGCTTGTACTTCTCCGACAGCTTGCTGGTCTGTGTGACGGCCTAAATTTACGTAGTAAGTAAAAAAAATTGCAATTTACTTTTTCCAACGCCTGCATATCGGTGCAGAATGCATTTTCTGTTTGAATGAGCTCGTTGATGACCCTGGTTCGCTCTGCGGCGTTTGTTGTTGTAGCGTTCGTCGAGAGCGTCATCGAATTAGAAGGTGTTACTCCCTAGAAAAAGCTCAGAACGACTGAACGAGCGCGAACCGGAGCCCTTGGCGGTGTATCGGTGAAGCTGGCCCAGGCCGAGTCCTCCGGTGTGGAAGCATTATTGGCTTTTGGAGGTGGCGGCCGCATTGGCGGTGGTTTCTTCTCCTAAATTTACAAATCCAAGCGATTCCAAAAAAAGCCGTGAAAAACAGGACTAAAACTGACATCCGGTTCTTTGGCCATGTCCCAGTCGTCGAATCTGGCCCAGCTCGATGAACCGCCAGTGTGGTTGAGGCCAAAATCATTAGCTAAAATACGTTTGGTACGTCGAGAAACGTGTGGCTTACAAATTTGTGAGCCAAGCGGCCGATCGAAACTTCCGGAAAATGCCGGTGGGGCGCTGGAGCCGCTCAGCGACGAGCTATTCCACTGAAAAATTGGCTTTATCTGCACGAATTTGGGCGATTTTCAATACATTTTTTTGCGAATTTTCATAATGCCGAGTTTCGCCAATTTGTTTTACAAAACAGAAGTGCGGTTGTTTTACATTTTTTAGCATGTGAGATCAAAAAAATTTCCGGCCATTCCTCAAGAGTTGAAGAGACACAATTTTCTAGTATTAGGATTCAGCCATATGAAATTCGGCGTTACATCGACAAATCGAGAAAATTACCGCATTGGTCGAGCTCATGGTGTCCTGCACGTTCTCCGCCATCTCCTCCACGTCATCATCAAGGTACATTTCGAGGAAGGCGATCGGAATGATGCCAACCGTGTCGGAAAGCGGCTCTCGGCATTGCGCCCATTCGTTGTCGACCTGAAAGACATATAGAAAACCGAGAGCAGGCACAAACCATTCGCAACACACGGACACTGTCCCCCGCTTGGACGGTTAGCTCATCAGCTTCGCGACCCTCGAATGCGTGCTTCACGGTGGCCACTCTGAAAGCGATAAATTGGGCTCTTTCACATTATCGGGGGGGGGGGTCCCAATTTTACAGATACCTAGTAATTTCACATCAATTGTTTTTGGTAAAACTTGCTCTATTTCAAGCAAAAAACTATCTAAAAGTACTTAGGAAATGTTTCAAATTGGCACTTATGCTCCGAAAATAAATAGTTTTGGAATTTTTTAATCCAGCAATGCAAAAGTTTGGAAAAATGCTAGAAATAGAAAAAAACCGGGGTCGAAAAATCCCTCTATTTTTTCTGAAAAATTCGGTTCTACGGAAAACAGTCCACAGATAATCTGAAAGAATCATAAATTGTATACCCGATGCCATCATCATCTTTCGATCCTCCGTTCGGGGTGCCATTCAGTGGAGCTGATGGGAAATCGACAACGATCTAGAAAGTGAATAAAGGCTGATTACGAATTCCATGCAATCAGAAAAATCCTATCTATACCTGCACATAGTTGGCCGGGAAGATTCCGGTTTGCCCGTTGACTTCACCCTCCATCCATTCCGTATCAACTCGTCGAATCAGCTTCACAATCTCGTTGGCACCAAAGGACAACTCGTTCGTGAATTCGCCTCTATAATGGACGATTTTTTTCGAGCCGGAGGAATGCCCAGTAATTTCTCTCATCAGATTAAATTACTTACTGGAATGGATACAGCGACCTGCCATACGGCCCGATATTTTCATTCATAGTATGTGTGCTTCGCGCCGACATCTAAAAGAACAGTTTTTGGAAAAAAAATGAGGAAATACCGTAGGTAAAGAAGGGGCGGTGCGCGGGCTTTGCACACTTTCCACATCAACGCTATGTGATACGCCAACGGCAACCCCCTGACAAAAAAATTTTCGCGAAAAGGAAAACTATCTACCGGTAAATCCTGGACGTAACTCGCGGGAAAAATCCCACTCTTCCCCAGTCTCTTCCCAGAGTCGCTCGTGATCACTCCCGACAACCAATTCGAGTCGATCTCCCTAAATCAGCATTAAAAAAGGGGCTACCGCTTACTTTTCAACAGTGATCAGCTGGTTGGCTTCAAAAGAAAGATCGCCTCCTTCCTGTCCGGCAAACGCAGCTAACGACAAGACGAGACGCTCAGAGTTTGTTCTAAATCACATCTCAATTCAAAGGAACAAAGGCTTTAACCGACCGTAATGTTGCGCCAAGTCGATGGGCCAGCACCTTCGGACATCGCCCTTCTTGGGCGTTTCCGGGTATTTGGATTTTGTACCTGGAAAGTGTCGATTTTGAAAAATTTCGAAAGCTACCATTCATTTTCTTCGCCGGTCAACACTACAATTTGATCCTGGGCCAAGGCGAGCCCCGACTGCGGGTCGACGAACCCGTTTGTTACCCGGGCGTACGGCATCAAGCCGTCCATCCTTTTAAGCACCTGAAAAACGTAAATGATAAAATTTAAGTTTTGAAAAGTAAAAATAGTTGAGAACATCAAGTTTTGCCGAGATTCGCGTATGTTCCGCGGGGTTATACCGAGAAAAGCTAATAAAGGCCCGAGTGGGCAGGGATGGGCCCTAAGAAGCCCGGAGGGCCCTCCCGAAAAAAGCTGGCCTTTTTATTACGCGGCTTTGCTGGGGAATGCAAAAGGGAAGAAGAAGAAGAAATCGATATAAACGCGCGGAGGGGAGCCTCGGCACGGGCCACACCGAGGGCTGCCAGCAAAAAAAGGCGACCGGGGGTAGCCGGCCTAAATTTTCAATTGAAAGCTTAATGATGTTCTATAGAAAAGGAGGAGGATGAAAATGGTAAGAACAGACGTGGAGCCATCTAATGTGAACGGCAGATGGAGGGAAATTTCGATAAAGATCCCGATAGCTTTTCGTGCTTCGATTTTTGTTGAGTTTTTGAAAGTTGCTATAAGGCAGGGACACGTATAAAACTTGAATTACTGAGCATCAGGTCTTCAAGATTTTAATAAATGTAGCGACTCTGATAAACAATAAATTGTGACAAGATAGGCACATAAATAAAACAGTCAAAAGGAATATGAAGGCAGAAAGATACCAACTAAGGTTGATTGATAATCAGTCATTCTACAGCGACTCTAGAGCAATTTTAGCACCCTTGACTAGTGAGGGAGAAAAAATGTAGCAAGAATCAACGACGGGGGTCCCGGAACGTTTGGTTGACGGCAAAATTCGGGTTTTCGACTAAAATCCACGGGAGGGTTTTTGACCCTCTGACGTAAGTGTGTGCCGGGGCGCGCTTTAGCAGTGACAGAGTTCCGGGCGCGCCACATTACGCACGGCCGTAATGTGTATAGAACGGAACTATTTTAATTAATTTTTCTACTTTAATTTCTCACTTCTAAGAAAGAGAATATACATGTAATAGTAAAAGAAGCATGTAGAAAGCTTTTTACTAACCAGAGGACAGTGTTTTCGCGAGGTGGGAACTGATGATTGTCACCTCATAGGTTTATACTGAGGAGAATCATTTACTTTCGCTTGGTGTTAATGTTCGTCATAGTATTAGTGTATGAAAGGAAAAGAACTTTAAATCTCTAAACTTAAAATGAAGCATACAAAGAGCCCACGGCAAAAGCTCGCTTAGCTTGACGGAAGTACAACATAATCTCGAGCCACTCCTGGACCCGCTACAATGTAAGATTTTTAGGCTTCTTCGAAAGAGTTAAAGTTTTCGCAATTCTTCACACGTCTGCGGTTTTGTATGATTCTTCATTGGCGTTATCTCCTCAGCATTGGCCATTCACAGCCTACTTTGCGAAAGTTCCTGCGCCCCTGCTTCTTTGTAATGGCTGGCTTTTTGTAATTAAAGACATCGCGGTAGCTTCTGATTAAAAGTATTTCAGACGAGATTCTTCTTCTCTACAATATTTCAGAAGTGGACCAATCAACAAAAATACTGGTATAGTTTCCCAAAATTCCGAAAAGCTATGATACTGACGATTAACTGTTCCAGCTTTACCATAAATAGGTTCTTTTATTTATTAAATAAAAAAGTCTTCTGCATACTTCTTTTACTTTATATATCCACTTTGTAAAAAATAAATTCAGAAGAAAGTATTCCGTTCTATACACCTTACGTCCATGCGTAATGTGGCGCGTCCGGAACCCCCTCACTGCTAAAGCGCGCCCCGGCACACACTTACGTCAGAGGGTCAAAAACCCTCCCGTCTAAAATCCATAGTTCGACCGTTGTCTTGCTCTTTCCTTTAGTTTTAGTCGATAGTTTTAGCCAATCGATATGAACTGTAATTATCAAAGAAGAAGAAAAGGAAATCAAGAAAAGCCCTGTTTTTCTTTTTATACACTTTTAGGGACATTGTCTCCACTTATTTGAGTTTGCGCTTATCGGTAAGGGGCGCGATACCATTTCCCAATGCTGTCGTCGGCAGCGTATTGCTAGCAAAATTTCGGTGATCGATAATAAAGTAGAAATTGGCAAAAATTATCAAAATTCCAAATCACCCGGATCCGCGGATTTGACCGGATTCTCATACTTTGCGGGTTTCCAAAGCAAAATCGGCTCGATGCCGACTTCTCGCCTTACCGGACCAAAATTTATTTTGGTCTTTTGAGGTGAAACATGCAAAAAAGGGTTTGATTGGTCGATTTTTAGTGCGGAGACAGGCTGTCCGAGCACCAAACTAGAGACTACACCCACCCCGGCTCGGCCAAAAACAAGGCCCCGCCCAAAATTTTGTGCCGCTTTCATCACATGCCCTTTCACTCTGCCAATATATTTGTCGCGGCCGGTATTTACGGTTTTGTTGTTGATTCGCGGTATTGGCCAGTAGACGATCCCCAAAGACCTGTCTACGTCCTTTGGCTGTGTAACATTGCGCTATCAACATTTCCAACCGGGGGTTAAAAAGATCATTCTCTTCAAAATACTGTGAAATTCCCTTCCAATTTTTGTAAATTCAGCTTCAAAAACTAAGAATGCAATTATGCGAATATGCGTAGTTTACGAAAACCATATTTTGTTTGTTTTTTTATGTTGTTAAAAAATCTTTTTAACGAAATGAAGGGAGTGAAAATATTTAGCTAGCGTTGAAGGCTTTGTAAATGAAATATAATTTTTATTCCCTACCTTTTCCACATACGACCTTCTCTACCCATTTTCTCAGTTTTCCTCAAGCCACCTTTTTTGCAGCTTTCCTCCACCACGATGGGGAAGGGTCGGAACAAGAACAAAGACGGAGATGGCGGCTTTGCCCCAAACCATGCCAACAAGCGAAAAGGTACCTTTCAAGCCAGATTGTAATTGTTTATCAAGCTTTCCATCAATGCATCCGTTCTAACGCTACAAACTTTAAAAACGAAAATTTACGCCAAGCGCTTAGCTTGATCACAATATTGTGCAACCACTATGACGAAACATGCGAATTATCCCCGTTGTTTAGACAAAAATGAGGATTACGATTCGGACAGTGGTGAATCAATGTCCACCCACATAACCTTTGACGAGGATCTGCAAAGTGTTAGAGGTGATCGGGGAAACCGTCGATTTATCGGGAAATTTCAGGTGACATCGATGGGGATGAAGACACATTGATTGACTCGCTCAGCGAACATATTGATAATGCTAGCCACAAGAAGTAAGGTTGCCGTTTGTCGAGAGGCCCATATCTTTTTTAGCGTTGGTATTCGTACAGCTGCGCTGAAGCACTTGCTTTTTGGCCTGACTTCTCGATATTTGAGTGAGTATCTGCTTCTTTGTAACTATTTCGTTAGGTGAATTCGTCGCAAAGTGGCAAGCCACACTGGCGGAGGTGGGGAATAAGGCGATACGAAAGTCGGATGAGGAAATTCTGCTCGGAGCGTCATTAACCGCGTTGATTGCACTTCAAGCAGGTAAGTGACCTAATCTTCTCACATCTACGACCATTTAGGCGACGAGGTTGCTGAGGATATCTCCGATTCATTGGGTCAACTGCGCTTCATCGTCACTGACCCGGCAAAGAATGATGTACGATATTATTTTTTGGCAAACGATATATTTCAGGCAATCCGGGCCCATTGCGCGTTGTGCTTGGCGCTGGCAACGTATTTTGGCACCGATAGTGACGAATTGACGGCACTTGCCCTAAAGGTATGTTTTTCGCATTGGCTTGTGCAACAAAAAACAGCTAGCGCTGTAGGAAAAATATTTTTCTTGGTGCCTCTTTTGTGTTAATATTGCGAAATACTGAAATTGGCATAAAAATGTAATGTTTTTTTTCTAGGCGCTCCGACAAACCTGGACCGCCACAAAATCGACGGCCGTCAGTTGGCGACTCTTCGATATTTCACTGGCCAGCTGGGCGTTGCTCTTACAGGTTTGTCACCAACGGCTTTTCTATAGTCTATTTTTGTTTAGGATGGCCCCACGGATGCCTTGACCTCCGCGATTCAGGATCAGCCGAAGATTGTCGGCTACCTCGAGGCGAACTGCACAGAAATTAGGATTGCTGGTATGATGCTTCATGGTGGTTCTAACGCCTTTTTCAGCCGGTGAAGTTTTGGCGTTTTTGTACGAGTATGTCGATGATGCAAAGCCGGGCTTCCGATTCCCGAATCACAATCATGTACAAGAGGTAGGTCAAGGCTATTTTGTCACCATCTTAGTAGTAAACCCCAAAAAGAGGTTGAAAATTATAGAAAACTGCCAAAAAAATTTATTTACCTTCTTGTAGATCCTGGAGACATTGTTGGCCGACAGCTCCAAGTCCAAGGCAAAACGCGACAAGAGGATACAGAAATTCAGTCTTCGGTGAGCTTGGTTGATCATTATCTATTTTTTTTTTTTCTGTTAGACAAGTGCAAGTGTTCATCGATGGTGGCGAATTCCCTTCGCTGAAAGTCAAGTTCAGCACCCAGGAGAGTCTGGAACTTGATTCTTGCGCCAAGAAGCTGCTCTATGACCTATGCACTGATGTGGGTATTTGGAAAAGCTACTCTTCGTTTGGTTCTTTTGAATTATCGGGGGGGGGGGGGTAGGGCGGAATCGAGTTTTTTCTTAGGATCTAATTTTCACGGAAGTGTTTCTAAATTTTTTTACTATTTTCAATGTACAAATTTTGATTTTAAAAAATACGAAAAATCGGGTTTTTGTCCACAATTTCGTCTTTGTCCGCAAGTTTGTGTTTTAATTGAAACATAGTCATATTTTAGTATTACAAACACAATAAAGTACCAGCTATTATAATACAAAAATTCCGGCCCCGATAATGCCAAAGACCTTGATTTATTTTTGAACAAAACATTGGAATATGCTCAACTTTTAGCTTCTTCGCGGCGGGATGATGCAGCAGCTGAAAGAAAACGGACTGTTGAGAGACTACTTTTCGCTCGGTGCCCCCGTGCAAGCCTCCGGATTTGAAGACAAAATTTCAAAGGCCGAACGGGTACGTATCAATTTACAGTCTTTGAAAGCTTCTCCCCGCCCCTTTTCAGTTAGGCGTCCACGGTGCCGCCGCCAAATACCGACACCAAGTGCGGTCGAAACAACGCGACAAACGGACCGCCTACTAGCCTTTCTTATTGTATTTTTCAATGATATTTTTTGTGGTTTCTATGGCCTTTCAACTATCGCCTTGCTCGCTCGCTTTCATTCCTGAACGGGGGGTTTCTTTTAAAGTACCCTACTTTCTTGTTCAAAAAAAACTCGGTGGATCCGATCGTTGCTCGCCACAACTACCTACTAGTCTCGCTAGGCTTTTGTTTTTGCATTGATTCAGGTCACTTGGCGACATAGTATTTCATTGGACTACAAAGTTTTCGATGATGGCCTTTTTAAGAATTAATAAATTTCTTTCGAAAACTTCGTCAAAAATACAAGACTACAACAAAGGGTAAAATTTTTTTTCAGGCTCCAATTTTTAAAGTAAAAATAGAGCAAGTTATTAAATTGGCATTTCATCAAAGAAGGAAATTGCTATTTCCACACGCCAAAAATTATAAATTTTGTTTCAATAGTAGAAAATATCGATTTTTCGAGCAAAAATTACCGATTTCCAGGAAAGTTTGAAACATTATAAAATGTATTTATAAACTGTTTTCATAATCCTAAACGTAAAAGCGCCACAAATCTGTATGCAAAAAGTCGAAAAATATCTGTTTTCACCGATAATTCCAAATTTTGAACAAAGTTTTCCAGATAGTTTCTGCTTGAAATATACCTAAATTCGATTAAAAAACTTTTAGATGATGATGAAAAAATTTACATCTGTGAGCTTGTAACAAAATCCCTCCCCCGATAAGCAAAAGAACCCAATTTATCTCCAGGTAAGACCCGCAAAAAAAGACTATAAAAGAGCCGTCCGAATTTTGAAGGTCAAGGTCAGCGTCACGGACCCTGGGGTAAAGCCGAGGGATGAGCAAAAGACGCGGGCACCGTCTTGAGCCCCTCGATACGCGACCGGGGGGAGTGGTGTTTGTTTTGGTCGAGTTGTGCTTCTGTTGCCACTCTGGGTGGTGGATGCCTTGAGCGGCCGAATACTCGCCACACACACCCACACCTCATCCCCACAAATATATCTCTTTTTTTGCCAGGTTACGTGCAGCACTGCTTGTAAGGTCGTTTTTCGTGCCTTCCCTCCCCTTTAAGGGGAGTGTAAGGCATAACTATGAATTGGGCACCACCTTCCCAAGGAATTTTTGCTGTGCCCGCTACGTAGCGACACGCAACGCGTGCACCTTAAGCGCCCTAGACAACACCGTAATCACCAATTTAGGTAATTGAGCGTATTTTACGGATGAAATTGTGGTAGTTGAAGGTTCGCCGGGAGCCAAAATTTTTTCGGCCTATGCCTAGTTTTCTATAAAACGAGCGGAAGCGCTTGCGATTTTTTTACTGTGATGAGCTTCACAAATTTTGCATAAGATTTGTTTTTATGTGAAAAAATCAATTTCTTCGACCCCAGATGATGATCACATTTTTCACCTTTCAAGGATTCCTCTAATTTTTAGTGAAGTTTTCTATATTAAATATAGTTAAAATTTACTAAAAAAATCATCGAAAATGTTTTCTATAAGCGGCTCGATTTGATCGAGCACGGCTCGGTTTTTGGCGATCAGGGAGCGAGGAAACGACCTCGAAGTCAATACGGATCATGCAAAGGGATCCCAGGCCCATCACCAATGCCATTTTTTTGAGCTGGACGTCCCAGCGCTCTCTATACATTTTTAATAGCATTGCCTCTGCAGGTACGATTTATTCACTTTTAGAAATGGTTGAACACCGATAATTATTCCGCGAGACTTTCAAATCGTGATTTTGCTGTCCTCCGTCAATTCCTTGAAGTCCACATTGTTTCAGGCGATGCGCAATGCCTTCCTCTTGCTCCTAGCCGCAATATTTCACGCCAGCGCCAGCTATCGAATCCTGATTTATGGCACGACCATTGGCTACTCGCACGTTCGCTTTCACGCCAAACTCGCCGATGTCCTCGTCGATGCCGGCCACACTGTGGTTAGTTGATTTTTACCCTGTTGTTCACTAAAAAATAGAATAAGTGTTTCGACGCTGTTTTTTTACTATTACTAAAGGCAAAAACTCGACAAAATTAGCATTGAAACACACGAAAAATATCGGTTTTGGCCCAATTTCGACCGAATTTCTAAATTTTCGTGGTTTTTGCTAGTTTTCCACTTGAGATTTTGTTAATTTTGTCGAAAATTAAAATTATACAAAGGATTTTAAATAAAATTACTAGTAAAATGGGCTTGTAGATTAAAAAAATAAGAAATTAGATATCAAGCGCCGGGATAAAGCCCTAATTTCAGGTGATTCTCCTCTCCGAGTTGAATCCAAACATTAAACTCGGCGACACCAAGGCGGAGGTGATCACGGTGCCAGCTTCGGAAGAAACGACAGCTATTCAGGTTTTGAATAGTAAACCGATTCTAGCAATTTTACTTTTTCTTTTATAGGCAGCCGGCGAGAAGGGGACCCTCGTTGGCTTCTGGACCTCAGATATCAATGACCTATCCGGGACGTTGCCGGTTTGAAAGCTTTTTTCTTACAACTAGAAAAAGTTTAGATGTTCCAAGAGATCTCAAATATGGCCACCACGCAATGTACAAGTAGGTTTTACAAAGATGGTCTCGGTTTTGTATAGTTTTAGATAGATGTGTCGCCTTTTTCAGAAAATCTCCATTTTTTAGAGACCCTGGCATTTGCCGGTTTGTTGGAGCGGTTGCAGCACTACAAATTCGACGTGGCCCTCTCGGAGACGTGGGATTTGTGTGGATTTGGTTGGTCAAATTAGTCAAATATTTTTAAGTTTTAAAAAGTTCTGGTTTGGTCGCGGGCGGGGGGTCGCTGATCTTGTTTCGGATCTCAGTTAAACGTCAAATTTTGAAATATGTGTTTCAACAAAATCTTGCGCTATCAAAAAGTCCATAAAAAATGACTAAAAACAAAACAAATTTGCTTTTGCGTCAAAATTGTGAGAAAAATATTTTTTTAACACGTTTTTCTACCTTTTTGGTCAACGATATCTGTAAAAGAACTTTAAAAATAGGCTGGTATATTAGTTATATCCAACAGAAGTTAGGCTGAATAAAGAAAATTACCCCCCCCGCTAAGGAATCAGTCCATGTTTAGGCCTCTTTCAACAACTCGGCATCGAGAAATACGCAATCACGATGACCAATCACCTTGAGGAGGGCGCGGCGGCGATCTTGGGAGTTCCAAATGCCCCATCTTGGGTGCCCGGTAGATGAACATGGCGTGTGTAAATAAGCTCTGTAATTCAGGGGTGGTGATGGGCCATGGCGAGGAGATGAGCTTCATGGAGCGCGTCGAGAATCTGCGGGCAAACTATTATAGCACAAAGGTTGGTGATATTCGAGAGTCTAAACCGGAAGTATCTAGGTATACGACCTACTTATCGACGATATGCAAAGTCTGTTCGACCTGAAGTACGGGAGCTTTGCCTCATTTCGGGTGCGTCAGTTGTTATGTGTCGGAACTTCGTAACTTCGCACTCCGAAGTCTAACTTGGCGTTAACTTTTTTAACGTTTGAACATTTTTTAAACATCGAAATCAATAATTTAGGATCTACTATCAAACACTTCTCTGGTGTTTACAAATAGCGACCCGCTGCTCGACTTCCCGAAACCGACGCTGCATAAAGTAAGGGATTTGCTAGCAGTTTATCGAAATTTCGTCTTGTTGAAATTTCGTTTTGTCGAAATGTAATTTTTTCGAAAACAATTTTGCGGCAAATCTTGTCGAAATATAACGTTGTCGAAATTTCATTTTCTCGCAAGTTAATTTTGTCGAAAAATGTCGACAAAATGATATCTGGACAAGACAATGTTTCGAGAAAATGATTTCATCAAAAATTAATGCGGATAAAATGATTTTCGACAAAAGGAAATGTCGACAAAATGAAAACAAGCTCTAGTGAGGCTTTGAGAAAATTAGCACTTTTTGAGGTAATCGATCTTGGTGGGATTACGGTGGCTGATGTGACGCGGAATTTGACTTCAGTAGGTTTTTCTACAAAGCTTTTCTCAACCTTTAAGGAATGGGAACGGATTCTGTCGCGCCGCGCGCGGACTGTGCTCGTCTCCTTTGGTAAGTTTTTGGGCGAAAAACATATCTAAAAATTTCAGGAACGGTAGCAAAGGCGCACGCATTGCCCGACGACTACAAAACGGGAATGATGGAGGCGTTTGACGAGTTTCCGGATGTAAATTTTAATTGTTATGAGAGAAATTGGCTCCTTTAGGTGACGTTCGTGGTGAAGCACGAGAAACCAGATGACGATTGGAAGAATGACCAGGGGAATATCCAGCTGACGAAATGGATGCCGCAGAGCGAGATGCTGGGTGAGTACTTGCATTTAGCAGATTTATGGTGTCTGGTGCGTTAACGGGGGGGGGCTAATTGGCCATTTTAGATAGATTTTTGACCAAATAACAAAATGTTTTCAACACTTTTGTTGATTTTGATAATTTTATAAATCTATAGGGAGCAAGTTATATAAAATGTTACTTCACTTTAATGGAACCCCCGGATAACGCAGAAGCCCCGATTTATGCCGCTTTCAAGGGGTTTTTTATAACAATTTTAGCCGATGACCGAGTTGCGGCGATAATGACGCATTGCGGCATCGCGAGTATGTATGAAGCGGCGGCCAGGGGCGTACCCGTAAGTCTAGAGCTGTTTTTCGTCGTTTCTGGTTTCGCTACTGCGAATTAAAAATTCAGATGATTGCCGTCCCGCTTTTCCACGATCAGATCCGAAATGCGAGGCTGATCGAGCGCGCCGGCACCAGTGTCAGGTTTGCGATTTTTACTGGTACTGGACTGTTAGAAGGGGGTGGGGGGAACAAATTTTCATAGCTCCGCCGATGCCTGTGGATAGTACCTAATGTCTTATTATAGTGTTTTAGCAGATTTTGGTTGTTAGAACGTCATCAAAATATTTTAAGGAATAGAAATTTTGAATGTTTGCCTGTTTTTGGTAGTTTTACAGCCATTTGTGACCTAAAAAGCCCGAAATTTTCGACAATTTTTCAAGTTAGGACATTCTGACTAGGACAAAATGTGCTTTTGGAAAATGAATTAGTTTCTTTTTACGAAACCCTTCAGGTTCAACAAGTTGCAGCTGAACGACAAGGAGGCCCTCGCCCAGGTGATTCGCGATGTTCTCGACAACAAAAAGTAGCAAAAAATCACGATGCAGATAAAACACAAAGCTTTTTTAGATATAAAAAACGAGCCGTCGAGGTCGCAGCGATGCTCGATGATCGTCCGTTTTCCCCGGAGACGCTATTCACGAAAAATGTCGAATTTTTGGCTGCGCACGGACCATTGAGGAATCTGGAGCCTTTTTCCAAGGAAATGGGATGGGTGAGGGGAAATAAATAAGGAAAACAATCATATTTAGCTCGCCTACTACAATGCCGACATCATCTTGGTCGCCATTGGATCTGTATTGTTTGTTTTGGTGGGTTTTTGGCTTTAGAAAGCGTAGTAAAATTGTTTCTGGACTGTTAGGGGGTAACTACTTTTTTCCACTAATGATGATATATTACGTCTTTTTACCTATTTTTAGTAGTTTTTGATTGCTAGAAAGTCATCAAAAATATCTTTAAAAACCTTGAAAATGCGAAAATTTTGACCTTTTTTAATTTTTCTTATTTTTATATTGTTTTCAAATCTAAAAACTATGTAAAATTGTAGAAAATGGTGTATATTTTGTTATAGCGCCGCAGAGAATCACAGGGAAAAAATTGGTTTCCCCACCCGGCAAAAAACTCCACCGCTAACAGTCCAGAACCGTAAAATTATGCTAATTTCTAAAAAATAGTTTTCAACTTTCTAAAAAAATCATTTTGAATCCAACACAAATCATTCTTTTCAGGTTGGGCTGGCGATCTGCGTTTGCCTGGCCTGCGTCTTCATCCAGCACCGTCGGTCGGAGTACGGGCGATGCGCCGACGACGATTACTTCTTACATTCGTGAATTTGCTTGTGTGCTTTTCTCGTGGTTACTCTGGGATTTTTGCGGATAAATGTCTTTTTCACCAATCTTGGAACTCTCATAAATGTTTTTGAAAAACCAGAAATTTATTCACTAACCAATACACCAAAAAAGTGGTGAGAAAATGGCGAATTTCCAAATATGCGTTGTGGCTGGCTGGCAAGGGGGCTAGAAGAAGCGAGGATCGAGTTTTGTAGGCGGAAATTGATTGAGACGCCGTTTTATAAAGGTGATTAGTTTTTTTTGATGAATATCCATTTTTAGATATGAAATTTTGTGTCGCCCTTTCGAGGCGTTAACGATGAATAAAGCAAGCTACGTTTCTAAAAGAGGGCTACCGGATCTGCGTATTGACTATTCGTGGAATGGACGGCAACGGGACGGAAATATGGTGCTGGACTGTTAGCAGGGGGGGTGATTTTTCGCAGTAATTACGTACTGCCCCAAAGCAAAATATAAACCAGTTGATTATCATTTAACACAAATTTTTTTGAATATAAAAACCGCAGAAAAATGCTACGAATTTGTGGCGTTTTTGCCGAGAATGGGTTAAAAGGCCAACTCCCCCCTGCTAAGAGTCCAGTACCGGAGATACAATGCAATAAATGATCGAGTCAATGAGGTTTGTTTCAAGAATGCTAATTCTGGTGGTAGTAGCGCGCCTGGCCAGCGGCATCGTTCTGTGGCGGAGCGGCGGCATTTTCTGGAATTTTTCTTCGAGCGTCATAGCAAGTATTTTAATCGCGTTTTTAATAAAGTTTAACGATATTACAACTGGGAAACAAGCTGGCTAAGAAATTTTCGATTTTTTCAAATTTAACATAGTTAAAACTTATTTTATACAAACGCATTTTTTGTACATCTTAATAAAAATTTGCAACATTTTTCCGTTCCGAATTATAAAAAAAAGAGCGTAGAAACACGTGCTCTAAAAAATTTGATCCTAAGAGAAGGCTTTGCTCCTCCCTGAAACTACGAAAGCAGCCCCCGCGCCGTTGTTCATCTACCAACCTTGATTCGCCGAGACTCCAGGGTGCGCGCCGAGTTGCCCGTCGGCCTGCTGGTTCAGGTAGACGAACTGATCGGCCAGCATCACGCCGGGCAGGCCGGCGATCATCGGCGCGTCTAGGGGCGGCAGGTTTGGCATGGTGGTCGGCAGCTAAACGCGGATTTTGCTTAATTGTGCAAAACAACGATTAAGCTGGGAATCAGTATCTATTTCCAAGTATTTGCTGTTTATTACGATTACCTGCGGTAGTTGAATCATCGACTGCTGCGCGCCACCTGCACGGTCGGCAAGCAGTTCATTCGCTCGCGTATAGGCCATCAATGACTAGAAGAAATCGTATTTTTCTAACCATTAGTATCAGAGTTATACTTTAATCCTTTAAATACAAAAATTACTAAATTATTTTCAAAATGGATGGCCGAAAGCCTTTCTCACCTGTAGATTCGCATGCAGCGCCTGTGCCATATGCTCGAGCGGCAGCGTGGCTAGCGAATTGTGGGCGAACAGATCGTTTCTGACTGGGTCGCTCAGGCCTGAAGGTGCATGCTTTTACGACTTCTTTATACGTTCTTGATTTTCCATGTTATACGTTTGTTTGGCGTACCGGCCTCAAAAAAACTTTGATACCCTCTAGCGGGACGCAGCTGGATCGGATTTTGACGATTTAGGTATCTATCAAAAGCTCTCGGAAAGCCCTTTCCGTCTTTCAATTTAAGCGCTTTGATTCGCGAATTTCGTGACCAAAATCCATGAAAAATGCCGATTTATGTGAAACCCGTTCTCAAAAATGTGAGTTGCTGATCTGAAGCTAACAGCATGACGATGATTTTAAGCTTTTTTTCAGAAATCATTTAATCTGGATAGAGAGCTAAAAAATTCGAAACGAGTAGCGCTTTTTCTCGCCTTTTCCAGGGCTTTCGAATGGTGTAAAAATCATCCCAATCCGAGCTTTCTCCGGACCAGGGCGGTCGATTCTTTGGCACGCCCCGTTTTCACAGGTTTCGGCTTATGGCTTAGGTTTAGTCTTATACTTATGCTTATGCTTAGGCTTCGGCTTAGTCATAGGCTTAGGCTTAGTTATAGGCTTAGGCTGCTTCGCAACAAGGACCCACCAAGGCTTGAAGGCGGCGCCAGAATCGGCAGCAGCGGGGCGGCCGTCGGATTCTGCGACAGCAACGGGGCAGCCCGATTTGAATCCAGGAACACGTTGAGCATCTCGGGCGGCAGCTGAAAACTCTTCATTTCTGACTTCTAGGATTCACAAACCAGGCCGGGCGGTGGCATGGCCGAACTGCCAGCCGGGAACATTGTGGGCTGGGGTTGAGGCGGTAGGGTTGGAGTAGGGCGGTGGATGGGGGCAGATTGACGTGGCAGGGCGGGTGGTTGACCGCTGGAAGCCGATACTTCGGCCACGACCTCGACTGATGGAGCGCGAGGAGTGGCTTCAGCCGCGACGGCTTCAATGCGAGGCTTCGTCGCAACCGGGGCGCAGTTGGTGGTCGATGAGGAGGTGGTTGTTACCTGCTAGAAGTTCCGTTTTCCGGCCAGCCTTCCGTACCGACAAATTCCGGCCAAAATCCCGGCAGCCAGAATTTGATATTTCCGGTCGTTTCACCGATAAATCGCTTTAAAATCCGGGGTTTCTGGCTGTCGGGATTTTGGCTGTCGGTATTTTCGCCCTAAAAAGCAACGCACCGGAACCTTCCTGGCTTGAGCCTTGCGCCGCATGTCGTGCAGGGTGATGCCGGTGTTCTCGCTGAAATCAGAAACCATCGAATGGGATCAGAAGGGCTATACGAAATGCCGGGTTCAACGTCAACGTCCGAGTTGTGAATTGTAGCGACTCGGGCCAGACGGTCCCGCCCCACGTGATGGCCCCAACCCGCGCGTTTTTGAGCGCAAAAAACGGGTCACGCCGGTTGCGAAGTCGAATTGTAGCCAGAGGGCGGGGGTGCTAAGGTTTTCCGAATTGCGATAATTACGTGTGTCTGGCAGGGTAGTGTACGCATGTTGTTTTGAGTATCATGTCGGAATCTCGAAAATGGGAATACGAAAATGCTTTATGTTTCACCGTAGGACCGTGTGGTAATGATAGGAAAAGTTGGCCCCCCCCCCCGCTAATATTCCAGAATCGAAATGTCGATATTCTCAAAATTTGAGATTCTGAATTTTGCGATTTTGCTAGGCGTTGTTTTCTTTAACGAAAACCCACACAATCTTGATGCTGGCCGGCTTGGAGAGGGCGCCTCGGGTGGTGTCGTGGGTGTGTTGCTCCGGCTTGGAGAAGCATTGGGAGAGGGCTCGAACACCGTGATCAGTCAGTTGATGGTACTGCATGCTTGGGCTGCAAAAAATTGGGCTGTTCCAAATTAAAATTAAGAAAGCAACTTAAAAACTAAAAACACGGCTAAAATTTTATGCGAATTTTATTATGATTACAAATACATTTGACGTTCTACCATACTTACCCCTCAGTTGCACAAGGTGCTACGAGGATGCAAACGGCATGCGGATGTTTTGTTTGGTAGTGATACTGCGAGTGGAGATCGCTGTACGACATCGAGGCTTGCTGGAATTTTATATTAACAACCTAAAGGTCAAAACTTACCCCAGTGGGATGTGTATGTATCCATCCGAGCACCTCCGGACATTTGCTCGCCTGGTAGCTGGACAGCTGAAAAAATCCCTAGCTTTCAAGGCCCGGAAAATCACACCTCTTCCGTGATTTTCACATCAGAATGGTCGGGGAAACCCTGTTGCTCGGGGAGAATGATGTGGGTGGCGATGTAGATGTCCTTATCGTCGATACGACGCTGGAAAATTTCATAATGATTTATGTTAGAAAATTCCTACCCGAATTCCACAAAGCAACCCAAACGTTTCGAGGCCTCGCGACGAATTTTCGCGTGAAGCTGCAGTAAAGCTAAAAAAATAAAGGTATATGATTGTATCGACAGAATTACCGGCGCTCAATATCCTCCGGCAACACCATCGTGTCTTTTTCGATCCCAGAATCGTCCGTCGAGGCGCTTCGTCGCATTCTCCTGAATTAGAGGGTTGGTTTCTTTCCGCTTAGCGGGGCTAATGTTTGTTTTTTTTCATTTATGCTTCGTATTAATCATATATTGTGCCACTTATACCGTTTTTAGCAGTATTTTATTGCTAGAAATTATAAAAATACCGGAAAATTAAAAAATGCTTCTTTGCGCCATATTTTAAATTTCAAACGGTTTTATTTTTCAGCCTATTTAGGTGTCTGTTAATAATAGTTAGGGTATTTTTAATATAATGGGAAAGAACCGAGATTTGTTTCGTTTGGAAAATAAGCCTACTTTGATAGCACGACAACATTGTCGTCCTCTTCCTCCTCTTCACCCTCTCGTGATCCGCCGGCTTCGCAACACGACGGGTGAAGCAGGTCTGTTTTGCAAAGCTGTCAAAAGCTCGGCTTACAAAATTCTGCTTCCTAACTTACATCTTTGACAAGAGAAGCAGCCTGTCGGGTGTAGACCTCCTTCAGGACGCGTTTCCCATCAAAAACGTAGCCCATCGCCTAAATAATGACACTGATAGGTTATGTATGCTTAGGCTTAGGCTGCGGCTTAGGCTTAGCTTATGCTTCGGCTTATGCTTAGAATCCGATACCTCATGGACAGCAGCGTTCAACCGTTTCCGCTCTTCCGGTGAGACGTAGTAAGTCTCGTATTCGTGATGTTCTGGGATATCCTCGAGCAGCAAACTATAAACGAATTTTGTAAACTTTTCTAAAGCTATATTTGTTTTTTTAATTTTTTTTAAATGTTCTAAAGCTAATACCTACCTACAAAACCTCAAGAACACACAAACGGCCTTCTCGATGTGGTGCTCGGCCGCGTATTCACGGCCCATCGTCAGCAACTTTTCGATGTGATCGTAGTAACTGGTCCAAGATGATATTGCCTTGTACAAAAAAACCCTACTTGTTCAACGGGACGCTCTGGGAAAAGTCTTTCTGAGCAGCGCCGCGGAGGATGATGCTCAGACGTTCCTTTGGGTTCAGGATCACTAAATTCCGATAATGAATGATGACGAATTGCATAACTTAAGCCTAAGCCCAAGCCTAAGCATAAGCCTAAGCCTAAGCCTAAGTCTAAGCCTAAGCATAAGCCTAAGCATAAGCCTAAGCCTAAGCCTACGCCTAAGCCTAAGCCTAAGCCTAAGCCTAAGTCTAAGTCTAAGCCTAAGCATAAGCCTAAGCATAAGCCTAAGCCTAAGCCTAAGCCTAAGTCTAAGCCTAAGCATAAGCCTAAGCATAAGCCGAAGCATAAGCCTAAGCATAAGCCTAAGCCTAAGCATAAGCCTAAGCATAAGCCGAAGCATAAGCCTAAGCATAAGCCTAAGCCTAAGCATAAGCCTAAGCATAAGCCGAAGCATAAGCCTAAGCATAAGCCTAAGCCTAAGCATAAGCCTAAGCATAAGCCTAAGCATAAGCCGAAGCCTAAGCCTAAGCCTAAGCCTAAGCCTAAGTCTAAGCCTAAGCATAAGCCTAAGCATAAGCCGAAGCATAAGCCTAAGCATAAGCCTAAGCCTAAGCATAAGCCTAAGCCTAAGCCTAAGCCTAAGCCTAAGCCTAAGCCTAAGCCTGAGCCTAAGCCTAAGTCTAAGCCTAAGCATAAGCCTAAGCATAAGCCTAAGCCTAAGCCTAAGCCTAAGTCTAAGCCTAAGCATAAGCCTAAGCATAAGCCGAAGCATAAGCCTAAAAATACGTTGCTATAACCGACCTTTATACTGATCCCTCAGAAACTCGAAGCTGCTACTTTGTAGCGCCTTATTTTCGCGGAGGACGGCCTTGGCAGCCAGTCCACCCGAGAGGATGGTCACATTCTGGTGGTGCAGGCAGTCGGGCTTGGTCTGGACGCTCACGCTCACTCCCGGACTCTGTACGTTCTAGAAAACCAAAATGGAAATTGTGGGCGTTTTGAGCATTACCTCGGGGTTGGAGCTAGAAGCCGAGGGCTCGGGTGATTTTTCGGCTTCCGCTTCTCCCGCCTTGCGCTTTCGATCGGCGCCCGGCTGGTCAGCGGCGTCGCCCATTTTTTTTTGGGCCGCTAGACCGCAATCTAGAAAAGATGTTTTAATGTGTAAGCGCGCGCGAGAGAGAGAGAGAGAGAGAGAGAGAGAGAGTGAGTGAGTGGGAGAGCGACAGGGCGAATGAGAGAGATGAAAGGAAGATGTGACAGACAACCTTGCGAATCTACGCTTGAACGGCTTCAAGTCGGTGGCTGGCGAAAAAGCCAGGGTTAGTGATAGGGAGAGGGAGAAAGCGAGGGAGAGAGAGAGAAAGAGAGAGAAGAGAGAACGATTTACACAGAGCGCCTAACAAGGCGGCGGCTGACGAAAAAGAAGTTTTTGATAAACCCAGATAACAGCAAGTATTTTGATAGTATTGTAATAATGATTTAGGGCGGAAAAACCTTTTAAGAAACTCGAAAAGGTCTAAACATTTGAATGTTTGGTAAAAAATTAGGGATCTTGGGCGAAAAATCGCTTTTTTATGTGTAAAATTTTACGCTCAGAATGGTAAAAAATATTGTCGAAATACTCGCTCTATTTTTAGGTAAGTGGGTGAGGAACCAATCCCCCCCGCTAATACAAAAGTACCGTATTTTAGGAACAATATTTGATTATTTGAAGAAAATTACAAAAATATGGATTCAAGAAAGGAAGATATTTTGCCGGTGGTGCATTTTCTGGCCGGTGATTAGTCAGCGTTCACGGGCCCCATTAGTCCGCCCTCCTGCTCCCCCATATAATCCCGATGATCGGGCTTCCTATAGCATATATTTGGATTTGCGCAAGACTCTACTGGGTGTGTGCCACTCACTCAGGGGTCAGGGCTCATACTCACGGCACCAAAACACACACAACCTCCCCCCGTTCGATCACCTGGCCCACGGCCAAGATGTGCTCGACCAAAATACACGACAGAAAAGGGCATTCAGGGGGTATAGAGGGGCTATATTCAGCTTATTTTTTTCGAAATACCGACAATGATAATAACGAAATTCATAATGTCGATACTTCAAAATGTCGAAAATTTCTATTTTTCATATTTTCAAAATATCGAAGTTTCTAGGTCGAAAATTAGAATACCGATTTTCAAATTTTCAAATTGATAATTTCAAAGTTTCAAAATCTCGAATTAAAACTGTCGAAATTTATCCGTCGATCTTTCGAAATATCGAAATTCTCCAGTTAAAAAATTAGAATACCGAATTTTCGACATTCCAGAAAACAGAGTATCGAAATTGCAAACACGTGCATTTTTAAAATGTCGAAATTCGTATTGTCGACCACTTTGCGGTATTCTGCAAAAATTTATACATTGTAAACCTCGACATATGGAATTTCGAGATTTTAAACGTCGCATAAGGACGAAATTCTGAAATTTCGAGAGCCTAAACGTCGGCATTAGTAAATATCGATATTTTGGGAGGAAATGGTCTGACAAAAAAGCACAGACATGCCTATCAATGTCACCACAAGTCTTTTATTACTGGTTTTAGGAAAATTTAGCGGTATTCCCGGAGAAAAACGAACTAGTAAGGTATGAAATTTCGCGTTAGAATTTGAAAGTAACCCGCCTGAACGTGCATTTGGCCATTTTAGTAACGATCAAGCGATTTTTTTTTTTGTTGATCCGGTGCAACGGCCAGTTTTATGATCCGCCCCCGGGAGTTGCCAGTGACTTTTGCTAGAGAGGGATCGGAATGAGTTTTTACCATTTGTGGGTGGGCCGCACAGAAAGAATAAAAAAAAATGCCAAAATCGTATGTTTAGAGCTAAATGGCGCAGATAATCGGCACCTGCTCGTTTTTCCAGATTTGACGAGCAATAACTGGGTAACCGAAGGAAAATACGTTCTTTGATAAGGCTAAAAGTGGGAAGATTTTCAAGTCATGAAGCAGCTTTCCGGTAAGTTACGTTGCGTACGTCATTGGTCGTGCAATGCTCTTTCAGCATTTCCCGAAAATCAAACATCAAATAATCGAAAAAAAGCGACCGATACGCCAAGTACGGATTCGGAGAGTGCGCAACGTGAGGATTTGCACGCCAGTTGATCGATTTGGTAAATAGAGGATTAAAGGGTTTCGCATTCGCATCAAAAAACGGGGATTAAAAACGAAATGTCGACAAGTCAGACAGTCAGCCACAAGACAAATTTCGAACGCCAAAACGTCGATAGCAAAATGCCGGCAGTAGTCCCGAAGCACGCCGCCCTTTAAACAGCTATTTTGCATGCATGGCTGCCGGGATCTTGGCCCCCCCTGCGATTTTGACCTGTCGAGTTTTGTCGGCATTTTGGTTGTCGTGATTTTGGAAGTCGGGCTTATTTGCGTTTTTCCCACCATATTGCCAGCCGCCTTTGTTCAGGTACCGGTTCGTTAGCGGCGGGCGGTATGCAGAAACAAAAATCATTTTAATAGAATCTTACTCCCTCTAGATCAACAATAGAAAATATCTATAGAAAATTTCAACAATTTGACCTTCTGGTCAAAATCTCCGAAAAACCGTAAAAAATATATTGTATTCTCAGGTTGAATAAGCGAAAAGAAAGAAAAAGAAGCGGGTATAAAGTGTACATAGTTTGGCCGAAATGGCAATATGTCTGGCGGCCGGGTTTTGCCGTGCCAGCCAAGATCGATGGAACGATCGGGCGAGCGGTCTAAGATGGTCGAGCCAAACAGTATCTGATCGATCGTTGAATATGCCGCTGGCAGGGGCACACGTACGTGCATTTCGCCAAGGGTATCTGAGGGGACAAGGGGGCAATGGGGGGGCACATAGATCTCGCTGCGTGCTTTTTTGTGTGGGGTACGCCTTGGGGGCAGGCTGGGTGGAATGGACGATGAGGATGGGGGGCTAAAGAAATATGGGCCCTGCCCCACCCATCACCTAATTTTTGGAATGGAAGCCTGGGAATCGGGGTCCTGGTCTGTTAGCGGGGGAGATTTTGGGGATTTTTAGGGATTTTACGCGATTTTTTATGTTTAGAAAGTTTCTTAAAACTCACTAAATTCCTCGACAATTATTGATTTTCCGCCCAAAATGTATCGAAACGCATAAAATTAAAACTTTTAAAATGCTATAAAATTGTTTATGGTTTTTTAGTAAGAAACTACAAAAAACAACACAAACACTATGAAATAAAAAATTATTTTATATTCAAAATTGGTATTAAATGAACAAAATTCAAACTTTTAAAATGTTATGAAAACATTGGTTTTTAATTTTTGGGTCATGAAAAATACAAAAACACTAAAAAAATTAGCTTAAAAGTAGCTTTTCGTCAAAAATTTATGGAATGGTATAGAAATTAAAATTTTTAAAATTTTCTCGACTTGTCATTTATGACTTTTTAGGACTTCTTAAAATCAAAAGTATAAAAAAACACACTAAAAACATACCGTAAAAGGTCAAAAATACTTTCCCCCGCTAAGATTACAGTACCGGAGTCCGGGTCAAGCGTAGCTAGTAAACAACGCCGCGAAGCCGTATTTAGGACCGGATCAGGGCCGGCGAATTTTGGCAGGTGTTTGGGGAGGAGTTTATGTTTTAAAGGAGGTATTCTAGCCTGCACCCGCCCGGATTAAAGGCCTTGGAGATCGGCAGAAGGCCGCAAAGATCGATCCAGATGGCCAAAAACTAGCGAGGAAAGCCAGGAGCGAAATTCGAAATTTAATAAGCAGCTTGTTAACGACTAATATAGTCTAATATAATATAATCTAAAATCAGTGTCTTAGAAATGGTAAGTTAACCCTATTTCCAAAAAAGGAATTCTCGAAAATGACAAAATTTGCTACAAAAACATTTAAATGGCGTAATCCTACTATATATAAAAAAATAGTGTTTGTGTGTGTGTGTGTGTGTGTGTGTGTGTGTGTGTGTGTGTGTACATTTGCATGCAACTTCCGTCACCGTGTTCCAGTCCTATCTCAATAAGAATGGAAGTTATGGGGGTGTTTGATACGTCATTAGGTGCGTAATGGTCTCGAGATGACTGCACACATATCAGATTTTGAAAAATCAATTGTTTTCGACATTAAAATTCGGTTTTTGTTAAAAAATCGGGCACCCCTCTTTGTTAGGGAAAAATTAGCCTCCCCCGGAAGTGGCGGCAGCCTATAAATAAAAGAGGGAGCGATACTCATTTTTTTTAGTCATCGGAACTCGGGAGAATGATGCAAATGTAGTATGTCAATGGATAAGACGGGGCCAGGGTTGAAAAGTCGCGAAGCGGCTTTCAACCCTGGTCGGTTTTTAATTTTTATCAGGCTTACTTCGTTAAACAAAAAAAGCATAAAAACGATACTTTATTAAATCATAAAGACTAGTAAGTTTAGTATAGTAGTAGATTTATTTAGAGTCAAAGGTTTAAAAGTTTTGCAAATTCTCAAAATTCTTAGCGTTTCCTATGCATTTCCAAGAGCCAATTAGCATATTATAGGCTGGAACTTTGGTGAAACAGATGAGAAGCTGCCGAGTTCTTGAAAGGAGACAAATCAAAAGAAAGTATTTTTGAAAGAGTTTTTGAAATTTTAAATATTTTCAAAATTTGTGAAGAAAAGCACGTCGAAATCCCTGATTCCTAGCGTTTCTACCAATTTCCAGGAGCCAATTAGCATACTTTAGACTGAAATTTTGACAAAACATTTAGAAAATCAGTAATTCACGATCGAAGCTTCCAAAGTTTCCGCAAAGTTTCAAAATCGGTGTGATACAAACGTAAAATGACTTCTTCCTAGAGCTTTCTATAAACCTCAAGTAAAGGAAAACCTTGACCAACAAATTTCAGCGATACCGAAGAAACCTGGCGTGTAGGATAAGGTCCGAGGTTCAGCGCTTCATTTTTCGGCGAGGCGCTCGGTGGGGCAATGGTTGTGGCAGGTAACGACGAGAGAGCGGGGCTTCTGCAGAGGGCGCAGACACGGGGCCGTCTCCTCCCTCTTCCCCTCCCCAATCTCTCGCCCCATTACGCGATGTCTATTCATCGCCCATCCACCTGGTCCCTCGATTTCCTCCTGTTCCCGCGT